CATCCTTTTTACAACTGTAGAGTTCTCCAAGAAGCTGCAGCACTATTCAGCCTTCTCTACTCACCCAGATCTCTGAGTCTTGTGATATTAAAAGATGGTGTTTTCTTTGCTGCTTCTATTCCACATAGCTCTACTGGTAATGCTGCAGTACTTCACAGTGGGGCAGTGGTGCAAGGGGCTGCAGTTGCAGCCTAAGGTCCTCGTAGAATGGTTGTACAAACAAAACATGTGGCCTCTACTATGTGTTTGAAATGCATGTAAACATTTCCCCCCCTTTTTTCCTTCAACATATTTGAAGGTAAATGTTATCCTCATTTTACAAATAAGTCATCAAGCTCTCTGCTCTCTATTTAAGGACATGTAGGCTAGGAGTAAGTATGGCATTAGAAATAAGGGTTGTCAGATTTCAGTTCTCACTGCCTTCCTCATACTGCTTCTACTACCTTGTTGTATACAGGTGTTATAATATAATAACATGCATTTGTGCAAATGACTTATCATATTGACTCATCTGAGTTAATATACAAGCTTCCCTTTCCTACATAAACATTTGCTGTTTTTATGTTTGGTCTCTGCACTGTTTTATTGCCCTTCACTGTGGTAACTGTGTGTTGTATGTGTGAGAGACAGAAAAGCATATTTCCTTGGCAGATGCAACAGTGCTTCAAAGGAAGAAGAATAGGTGGGGGGGGAGGGAACTTTGGCAGGACTATGCTGGTAGCAGCAACTGCCCATGTAATGACACAGATGGGAAGTATTATCTGCCAGAACCTGGACTATGTGTTCTGCATGTAGGGAGGACCTACAGATTTTCTCTATCATTTTTCCCTTACCCTTTTTACACATATTTGTTCTTCCTCCCTCTCTTCTCCACCCCTCTGCCATCAGTTACAGAATTAATGGCCTTGTGTCAGAATCTTTTAATGCATCTGCTGTGCAGGCTCAGGCTATGAGAAGTATTAGCTGAGGTGGCCTAGGAACATCTGGGTAACATCTGTCTGCTGTCACACAAAAGATTGTAGGTGGCAGAATGTTAATAAAGCTAATTGGTTATTAAGCTCTTTTAGGCCTTGAACAATACTATGTTGGAATGTCTCCAAAGTCCTTGGAGTTACTACATGGAATCTTTTCCTGTTTGTGGTACTGTGTGACCATGAAAAGCTGGGAGCAGGGTTACTTTGAATATCCTAAGGAGTCTGGCTGTAGATACTGACAGATGGTGGTACATGGATTTCCCATTTATATAGCAACTTTCTCTCCAGAAGGACTCCAAATTTATGTTGCTGATGGTAACTAGCAGCTGGCTATCCCCAGCCCAGCCTTAACCTGAAGTATAATAGTGTGCGACATAGGTGGCTCATGCAGTTGTTCCGTTTTCCGGCTCAGTTCTCGATTGTGATACCTTGTCACGGATCATGCTGCTTTCATGGAAAGCTTTGCCACCAAACTCCCCACGAAGAAGCATTATTCAGTCTCTCCCTGAAGGACCCACTGAAGCCAACCCTGGCGTGGCTTTACAGAACGCAACCCTCTCCCTCTGAGAACCTGCCTCTGTGTCCCTGGCTTCCCCAGTGACCTGTAGCACCTTGGAGAGCTCCTTCTTTGGTCAACTCCTAGCAGGAGGAGGGGTTTCTTTTTCAAAGGGGGAGAGGGAAATCAGAGTGCTGATGTTCCAAATAGCACAGCAGACTCCTGCTTCTAAACAAATAGCCTTTATTCTCCACCGCCATCCCTCTTGTCCTCCCTGGAACTACTCTTTTTCTCTACCTTGTCTCCCCTGGGATTACCCTTTCTCTCCCCAGCCCTCTCCGAGCCTGTCTCTCCCCTTGTGTTTAGTCAGCCATACTTGCCATAAAATAGTTACAAAACTTTAGTAGTTAACATGGACACTAATGCTTACCCAATAAAATTAAACAAGGTCATGAGAAACCAGTCATAGAGCAGTCTGCAGCCTGTTGCCAGGCTCAGACTGCCATCTCCCCTTGGGGCAAAAAGGGCATCTAGCTGTCCTATTTGTGAAACAATGGATAGAAAAAAAGGGTCACACTGAACCCCCCCATTTCCCCTGCAAGAACTGAATTTTAGAACTCAGCTCACTTAGTCTTTTTTTATCACATGCCTTCATACCCAGGGTCACCAACTAATAGTACCCACAGGGTTTCTGCTGCTAGAGAATACTAACTGTTCAACAAATACAAAACACCCTTTCCCCAAGAAGTCAGGTGGGGGCTAGGAAGAACAAGGGCTGAAAACACTCTTCCTGCAGGCCAGAGGGAGTGATGATAATTTAGGTTTACAAAGATTATTTTATATGCTCTGTAGAAACCCCAATGGGTGTGTATTTAAACAAAAAGGGGAGACTTCCATCAAAGGACTTGATTAATACATAAACAGGTATTAGCTTAAATAGGTAGGTATCCTACACTGATTAATTGAAAGCTCAGGTGCATTCAACTCCAGTAATATTCTGGCTGTCACTGGAAAGTGTCTGAGAATAGTTGCTGTTTGGGTGTCCCAGGAAGCTACCCATCTCCCTTCTCCCTGTGAAGGGATCAAGAAGGTGGCAAATAATCACTGGTGAAGCTCAGGCTTCTGCTGCCTTGCAATTTACTTCAACTTCTGTTGCCTGGGCTACGTGAGATTGCAACTCCCTCTAGCATGTAGTATTTACTAGCTGGAGATGGCTGTTGACATAGGCAACTTGTACCGCCTTAGTCAGGGGGGGATGTGCCAACTGGGGGTGGGGGCCCCCCCCATGGGCAAGCCTGCGGCTGCTTCTGGGAGCACCTGCAGCTGCTTCTGGGACAAACAGCAGCCAGTTGTTGCAGCCACTCCAAGAAGAGGCCATAGTCACTCCCGAAACCAGCTGCAGCAAGTGCAATGATAGGCTGGTGCTTGTGGGGGGGGAGGGAGAGGGGGAGGGCACCGGCGTTCCCACCTGCACCCCCATCCATCATCTAAGCAGCAAGCACAGCCATCAGGGGGTGCACTGATGCTCTCAGGGGGTGAATGTGCACTCCCTACACATTGCCACTGGCTACTGAGATGTCACAGGTGTCCTGTGCTGATAGGCAAGCAACTGTAGCTGCTTTGAACTGATCCACTGTTTCTGGATCTGGTAATGGTTGGAGACTTCCTTCTGTAGGGCTTGGAGGGAGCCACCTGCTGACCTGACCTGTTGTCTCAGGAGGTCTGCTGCTTGTTTGGAGCCCAGATATGAGATCTCATGGAGGGACTACTGAAGCTCACCCGGCCTTCTAACTACTATCCCATGCTGCTCATCTATGGGGGCACCAATGATGCTGCCAGAGCATGTCAAAAGTAACTACAGGGCTCTGGATGCAAGAATGAGGGGGTCTGGGACTCAGGTTGCGTTCTCATTGATCCTTCTGGTCAAGGGAAATTGCCTGGGAAGGAGCAGGTGCATCCTGCAGATCAAGATTGGGCTGTGTAGGTGGTGTCACCAGCAAGGATTTGGCTTCTTCAACCATGGGACATTGTTCCAAGAAGAAGTATTGCTGGGAAGATATGGGATCTACCTGATGAAGAGGAGGAAGAGTCTTTGCAGGCAGGCTTGCTAACCTAGTGAGGAAGACTTTAAAACTAGGTTCACTGGGGGATGGAGACCAAATCCCTGAAATAGATGGGGAAGCAGGAAACCTGGAGGAAGAGCAAGCAGGAAGAGGTAATGGAAGGGGGGTGGGAGGAGTAGGGTTTTTCCCTCCCCCATACTTCCTGAGAAATCAGGGCAATCAACTAGTTACCTCAGGTGCCTGTACACAAATGTATGGAGCCTGGGAAACAAGCAGGAAAAATTGTAAGTCCTTGCACAGGCACAGAATTATGACACAACTGGAATAACAGACTCTTGGTGAGACAGTTGGCATGACTGGCGCACTGTCATGGATAGGTACAAACTGTTCAGGAAGGACGGGGAGGGGAGGAGGAGGAGGAGTTGCACTTGCACTTTATGTAAAAGAGCCATATGATTGCTCAGTGCTCCAGTATAAAGCTGGAGATAGGCCTGTTGAGAGTCTCTAGGTTAAGGGAGAGAAACACAGGTGGTGTTGTGGTGGGGGTCTGCTACAGAGGAAGTGGTGGATGAGGCTTTCTTCAAACAGCTAGCGGAAGCTTCCTGGGCACAGGCCTGGTTCTCATGGGGGGCTTCAAAGTTGCCCTGACATCTGCTGGGAGGGTCATAGAGTAGTGCACAGGTAATCCAGGAAGTTTTTGATGAGTACTGGGGACAACTTCCTGGTGCAAGTGCTGGAGTGGCCAGGCTCTTCTTGGCCTGCTGCTCACGGACAGGGAAGTATTGGTGGGGAATGTAGTAGTGAGAATGATAGCTTGGGCAGCAGTGACCATGATAAATCACAGAGTTCAGGATCATGAGGGAGGGAAGAAGGACAGACTTTTTGACTTGTAATTACTTTATTCAGGGGTTCAGGGATACAAAAAGGGTGGCCACTTACAAAGTGAAAACACAAACAAATTACTACCAAACCAAACTAAACCAAGAATACCATATCATTGCATCCAACACATCACACTGTGACAGACACCTTCGCTACATTTCACGTCGTGTCTTACATGCTAGTTATGTGGTCAGAGTGCCAGCCACACAGTCATAACAATAGATAAAACAATTCATACCCTGCTCCATCCCATCATACACGTAACAAAACCTTCAACTTCCCACACAAAAGGAAAGCAAAAAAAACAGCCCGGTGAGGGCCAAGATGGAAGGACAGCAGCAAAGTAAGAGCCCTGGACTTCAGAAAAGCAGACTGACTCACTCAGGGAATTGATGGGCAGGATTTCCCCCTGGGATGCCTGGCTATGGGGGATCCAGGAGCGCTGGCTGTACTTCAAAGAAGCCTTACTAAGAGTGCAGGGACAAACCATCCCAATGTGCAGGAAGACTAGCAAGTACAGCAGAAAGTCAGCTTGGCTTAGCAGGGAGCTCTTCAGTAAACTAAGTCACAAAGAAGCAGCTTATCAGAAGTGTAAACTTGGACAAATAGCTAGGGAAGAATACAAGAGCAAGGATAAAGTCAGGAAGGCCAAAGCTCAATGGGAGTTGCAGCTAGCAAGGGATGTGAAAGGTAACAAGAAGAGTTTCTATAAGTATGTTGGTAGCAAGAGGAGGTGGCAAGCTAGTAACATAGGATGCAGGAAAGGCTGAAGTGCACAATGACTGTTTTGCTTCAGTCTTCACAGACAAAGCCAGCTCCCAGACTACTGAACAGAGCAACACAGAGGAGGCGAGAAGCCCTCAGTAGTGAAAGAACAGGTTAGGGTCTGCATAGAAAAAGCTGGGTGTGTACAAGTCCATGGGGCTGGATGGGATGCACCTGAGGGTGCTGAGGGAGTTGGCTGATGTAAATGCAGAGCCATTGGCCATCATCTCTGAAAACTTACTATGATCAGGAGAGGTTCTGGGTAATTAGAAAAGGACAAACATAGTGCACATATTTAAGAAAGGGAAGAAGGAGAATCCAGGGGATTACAGACCAGTCAGCATCACCTCAGTCCCTGGAAGAATCATGGAGCATCTCCTCAAGGAATCCATTCCTAAGCACTTGGAGGAGAAAAATGTGATTAGGAACAGTCTGCATGGGTTCAACAAGGGCAAGTCATGCTTGACCAACTGGATTGCCTTCTATGAGGAGGAGACTGGCTCAGTGGATGCAGGGAGATGAGTGGATGGGATGTACCTTGATTTTAGCAAGGCTTTTGATCTGATCTCCCACAGAATTCTCACAGGCAAGCTAAGGAAGGATGGGCTGGATGAATGGACTGTAAGGTGGATAGGAAACTGGCTGGAGCATCAGGCTCAGACAGTAATGATCAATGGCTTGATGGTCTAGTTAACAGCCAGTATCTAGTGGAGTGCCACAGGGGTTGGTCCTGGGACGATTTTGTTCAATGTCTTTATCAATGGCTGAAAAAGGGCATAGAGTGCACCCTCCACAAGTCTGCAAATGACACCAAGCTGTGGGGAGTAGCAGTTACACAGGAGGGTAGGGCTAGGATTTAGAGTGACCTAGACAGATTGGAGGATTGGGCCAAAAGGAATCGCATGAGGTTCAGAAAGGACAAGTGCAAAGTCCTTCACTTAGGATGTAACAATCCTATGCATCAGTACAGGCTGGGGGCTGACTGTCTGGGCATCAGCTCTGCAGAAGAGGACCTGGGGGTTACAGTGGACAATAAGCTGAATGAGCCAGCAGTGTGCCTTGTTGCGAAGAAGGATAATGGCATATTGGGCTGCATTAGTAGGTGTGTTACCAGTAGGTCAAGGGAAGTATTTATTCCCCTCTGTCCAGCACTGGTAGGGCCACATCTGGAGTACTGTGTTCAGTATTGGGCCCCCAGCTGTAGAAGGGATGTGGGTAAGTTGGAGAGAGTCCAGCAGAGGGCAGCAAAAATGGCTGTGGGGAACATGACTTGAGGAAAGACTGAGGGAACTGAGTTTATGCAGTCTAAAGAAGAGGAAGCTGAGGGGGGGATATAATAGCAGTCTTCAACGATCTGAAGTTGGGTTCAAAAAAGGATGGATATTAGGAAGAGTTCTCACTAGGAGGGTAGTAAAACACAGGAACAGGTTACCCAGGGAAGTTATGGAAGCTCCATCCTTGGAGGTTTTCAAGACCCAGCTAGACCAAACTTTGGCTAGGATATTGTGGACCATCCAGTTGTGGATGGTTATGCTTTGAGCACGGGGTTGGACTAGATGACCTCCTGAGGTTCCCTTCCAACCCTAGCTTTCTAGGGTTCTATGGCATGCAAAAGGCTCCCCTTGGGATATGCCTAGTCCTGCTGGAAGTGCCAAGTAATAGTGTGGTTAAATGTGGACACTTAAGGCCCTTGTTACATAGTAATTTTGAGCAGCTCCTGTTACCCTAGGGTGTAGCCACTATAGGCTTCACCGTAGTGTAAACATCCTACCTTGTCATCTCCACCACTGGCCTGGATCAGGCCAACTGCTCCCCTCCTCCACCCCCCCCTCCCCGCCTTCCTGAGCACCCCAAATTCTACCACCTGCTCCTAGCTTGCTTGTGGCTGCCAATGCTCTCTGTCCCAAGGGAACAAGCACAGTAGGGTTTTATGCCAGTTTATGGGTTGATGCCACCCAGAGAAGAGCAGTACCTTGGGGCAGCAGTGGTGGCTGGGCCCTGGCAGGTAGGTTAACCCTTTCTTATCTGCTCCCCACAGCATGGGCAGCCACAAGTAAGCAGGGAGAGCTCTGAAGAGAAAGGGGAAAGCATGGAATGGGAGGGGATGGGATTCTTACTTTTTAGTCCTCCATTCCCTTGCTCACCTGAAGTGTGACTGCTCCCAACTCAAGCTAAAACTGACACTCATCAACACCTGTGCAGCTGACAGTGTAAGGTGTAACAACTGAATGTCTACACTAAGCTCTTTCCATCTCTTTGGTTGATGTGGATTAGTGTTGATGCTATCCGTAGTAATGGCTATTAATAGAGCACTTCCTTTTAAGAGCACATAACATGTACTTCAGTGCTCTAGTGGCAGAAGTTTAAAAATCACTGTGCCACTGCTGTCAGAGTCATACTACTTATGATAGAATTAGCATTTTTGTGCCCCATTGCCTAAGAAGTGCTTACCGCTGTGGTGTAGTTCACAAAGCTTGGCTTTAAATGCACCTCTTCTGGTTCACATGGAGTTAAAATGAAATTTAAAAGTTAATAGGGTACCTGCTCCAATCCCAGAATTTTGGGGCTTTGTAGAGCACAATTTGCTCTCTGGCTATCATTGACTCTGATCGGATCAAGGGCAAATAACACTACAGGGGCATGTCCAGATGAGAGTGGATGCACAGTATGCAGCACTGCATACTTGTCTACAGCGCCACACGCAGGCATTCCCCTCACTGCTAGTTTGCAGTCCAGGGTTGGGGGCATGGTTTATACCAGGAGATCCTGCTGCTGGATTCTTGCAGCTGCAGCCCCCGGAGGCCCTTAGGACCCCAGGTAAGGTTGCTGGGGCAGCCCAGGTGCTGGCCCCAGCCTCCTGTACTCCACCTGGGACAACATGGTGCACACCAGAGCACATGTGCACAAGTGTTTCCTGGGGACAAGAACAGCAGTGGTACTGTTTATCCACAGAGAACAGCATGTTCCTGCTCATGGGACATGCCCCACAAGGTTTAAACACAATATTTAGGGCCCCTTTCTACTTTCTGGTGTGGAGTCAGGGCCTTATAATTCCTATGAAAGTAGCTAGAAGATCTGTTTAGTGCATAGCTACTATTTTAACTTGTATATATTACCGCAGGCATGAATGTGTTTTTCCATATGGGGTAACAACTTACCCCGATGCATTAACATGGGCTTGGGGTAACTTGTTACCCCAATGCAGTTTCTATATAACTGACAGGCCTAGACCTTTTTGGCCACCTCAGGTGGATGCATCTGAATGGTCAGTATTCATTCAGACCTCATGTGTCCACTTCAGGTATCCATTGCAACTAGTGGATGGCCATCCTCCACTCCTCTTTTGCTTTTGGATAGGGAACTTCCCCTAGTTTCTTAGGTTTCAAAGTAGTCCAAAGTTGTGCTGTTGCTGTCAAGCATGCATTATGACCTGTCAGTGGATGGAGAGCAAAAGAAAACCAGATGTCATCCACGACTACAATAAAAGCCAAGGGTGGTGTGGATAACCTCGACCACTTAGTCCATATGACCACCTGTAGATGAAAAAAATTCAACAGGTGGCCAAATTATACTATTTTACAATACCCTGGCATTGCCAGCCTCATTTGGCTAGGCCACAACACAAACTAGAAGCAATGATCACATTTAAAAAGATAACACTTTTTGCAGGAGCTTGGAGAACAGCTGATTGATAGACAAATAAAATGAAGAATGAGGGATATACATGATCTGTCTAAGTCCATCCAGTCTAGTATGACCCTGTGACAGGTGCACTCCTTCAGGGTCCATCCACTGGTGACCCCACCCACCTGTTATGGGCCACCTGCCCAACTTCTCACCTTCCACATCTTCTAATTACTCAATTAATAACAAGGTGTTAATTAAGTGGGAGGTTGCTCATTTACTGCCTTACTGCAAGGGGGTACCATCTGCAGCTCCTTTCTTCCCCTACACCACAGCCCAAGCCTCACAAATGGTACTCATATCATTTAGTCTGGGCCTTACTCTACTTTGGCCCCTTTGTCCTCCCTGGGCTCTCCATGGCCATATCTCACTCTGTGAGTCACTAGGCATTCATCAATGCTGCCCCCTCCCTGGGGCTGCCATGGATCCCCATGAGGCCTCCTCCAGCCCCAATAGCCTCACCCAAACCTCTGGTTCTAAACAGCAAACACAAAACACAAGGCCCTAGGCTATAACAAAATCTAAGCCAAATGGCTAAAACATCATTCAATCCCTACCAGGAAATTGTCCACCCCATAACAGCAACCAGAAGCTACTCATGCAGTCAGGCTTCTCCCCTCTGCTTGCTCCAACAAAGCTCCTTCTCCCTTGACTGCTAGCAGGGAACTGCCAGCTTGGCCCCAGCCCTGGGGTTTAAATGTGAACCAGGCCCTGCCCCTTCCAGTCAGCTGACTGCTGGCAGGTGTGGGTCACCAGCTAACTCTGGTTGCCCTGCCAACCACCAGCTGGAGCTCCTCACTCACTGCTAGGGCTTTTCCATAGCAGTTTCCCCTCTTTAAAAGAAGCAGGGTACCTAAGTGCTCTGTGACAGATCCCTAAATTACAAATTGCCACAATGCACCCCAGTAGAACCTTCTGCAAGCATGAGTGGGCATTGTGCTTTTTGTCCAAGGACAGATGACTGCAAAACCCGGAAACAATGTGAAGATTGAAAGCAATTTGCTTGTGTGCACCATAGTATATCACTGCTGCCTTGTGAGGAATGCAATATTTAGTTAAAACAGTTAGGAAATGTTTTTGGAAGTAACTGTTGATTTGAAAACAGTCTGAACTGCAGACTTAGCAAGTTCATTCACATTTTGAAAATCTAAAAAAAAATTAAATGTTGTTTATAATTCTAGTTAAATAATATTTTGGGTTCAAATCATCATAAATACTCCTTCAAACAATTTGTATGTTTAATAAATAGTTTTTGGTACCTTTATACTGTTGTCACTGGTTCCATTTTGTTCATGCAGGTGGGGTAACAAGTTACCCCATGAGACCAACAATGTTAATTGCAGGGTAATGTTACCTCATGAGAACAATAGTTAGTTTCATGAGAAGGGATGAGGGTTAAGCTGTATGAGAGTTCCAGTAGCATCTGGAGAAGCTAGAGCTCTCATACTGGATGCAGGTTTAGCTCCATGCCAGGACTGAGTTTCAGTTAAATTCCAGAAGATCTTTGGCATTTTGAGGGGACAGTAGTGCTGCCTGGCAAGTTCTCTGAAGGCAGGGTACCGAAGCAACTTATAAATTAACTTAAGTTTTCCAAAGACAGATCCTGGCAATGTAAAAGTGACTGGCTTGCCAAAAGAAGAGGGAAAAGATCACTGTGATATTTCTGAAGACATCTTGAGTAATTTTGGGAATTCCTAGATCTTGGCTGGGGCAGCTGCTGGGAGAGGTAGAGGAAGACCAACTAGAGAGAAGTTCATGATGGAAGGAAGTACTGTGAAACATCCCTGTGCCCCACCCTCCTCTACTTTCAGGTATATTAAATGTACTGAACTCAAATCCAAGTTCATTTAAGGTTAGCAATGAATATTTAACATAGCAGTTATTGTGAGGTGGAGTTTGTCCCAGGGGAATACTGCATAGAATTATGGTATGTCAAATCAGTCTGCTGGTTTTTGCAGTTAATCCACACCACAACACAGAGACTGACCATCTGCTTCAGAGTTAAGTTGGACTTACGCTTAGTCCTTTCTGTAACAAAGACCATATCAAAACCATCCAGCTAGAATCAGACCCTACTTCTTTTCCTTTTGCATTGCACTGCTGCAGTGGAACTGCTGCCTTTCCCATTATTGGATTTGCTCCGGCTCCTGGTGTTAGTGGTCTCTTTCTCAGGCTGTGCACGTCAGTCCATGCTCCCCTGGGTAGTTTTGTTCCTTGCCCACCTGAGTGCTGATACTATGGTAAAAATAACTGCACGGAAATGAGAGCACTGATTGGGATTTAAATAAAATTTACATAAAACTCTGCCTTGAGTACTAATTAATTAGGTGTTAAGAGCCACTAAATGGGGCCTGTCTAATGTGCCAAGTGAGGAATGCTACCAATAACACCTCACAAATGC